ACTAAATTTGAAAGTTCTCCCTCCATTCCTATCTTTTTGAATAAATTAAGTAGTATTAGATATAGATCCTTTTTAAATGTCTGATAGAATTCTACTGTAAATCCATCTGGTCCTGGGCTTTTTTTAGTTGGGAAGTTTTGTATTACTGTTTCAATTTCCTTATGTGTTATGGGTCTGTTTTAGCTGTTAATCTCTTCTTGGTTTAGTTTTGGTAGTTCCCATGCCTTTAGATATGTGACCATTTCTTTTAGGATTTCAAATATGGTAGCATATAGGTTTTTAAAGTATTCCCTTATAATGTTCTGTATCTTTCTGTTGTCTGTTGTGATATTTCCCCTTCCATCTCTGATTTTGTTGATATGGAGGTGCTCTTTCTTTCTTTTGGTTAACTGGGCTAGCAGTCAGTCCATCTTGAAGAATCAGCTCTTGGATTCATTGATTCTTTGTTTTCTTTGTTTCGATTTTATTAATTTCTTCCCTGATTTTTGTTATTTCTTCTTGTCTGCTGGGTTTGGGCTTCATTTGCTGTTGCTTTTCAAGTGTCTTGAGTTGCAATGTTAAGTCATTTATTTATATTCTTTCTGATTGTTTGATGTAGGCACTTAGAACTATAAACTTCCCTCTAAGGACTGCCTTCAGTGTGTTCCAGAGGTTTTGTTGTGTTGTATTGTCCTTTTCATTTAATTCCAGGAATACTTTTATTTTTTTCTTAATTTCTCTTTTGATCCATTCATCATTCAGGAGTGTATTGTTTAATCTCCATGTGTTCATGTGGTGTATAGGGCTTCTTCCGGTGTTGATTCTAAGCTTTATTTCATTGTGGTCTGATAGAATGCATGGAATTATTTCAGTCTTTTTGTATTTGTTGAAGTTTTTTTTTGTGCCCAGTATATGGTTAATTTGGAGAAGGTTCCATGGGGTGCTGAGTAGAAAGTACATCCTTTGGTGCTTGGGTGGAATACTCGGTAGATGTCTGTTAGGTCCATTTGATAAATGGTATTGTTTAATTCAGATGTCTCTCTGCTGACTCTCTGCCCTGTTGACCTATCTAATAGAGACAGTGGGGTATTGAAGTCCCCTACTAATAATGAGTTGGGAATAATCTGGGTCTTAAAGTCCTGTGGTATTATTTTTATGAAGTTGGATGTACCATAGTTTGATGAATATATGTTCATGATTGTAATATCTTCTTGGTTTATTGGTCCTTTGATCATAATGAAGTGGCCCTCTTTATCTCTTCCAATTAGTTTTAAAGTCTATTTTGTCAGATATTTGAATTGCAATCCCTGCTTTTTCTTAGTACCATTCGCTTGGTATATTTTTTTCTATCCTTTCACCTTAAGGTAGTGCCTGTCCTTGAAAGTGAGATGAGTTTCTTGCAGACAACAAAAAGATGGGTTTTGTTTCTTAATCCATTCACCTAGTCTGTGTCTTTTGACTGGGGAGTTCAGTCTGTTAATATTTATAGTTATTAATGAAAGATGAATATTGAATCCTGTCATTTTTATTTCTGTTTACATTCTTGATATAGCTGTACTTTTCCATAGTTATGCCTTCATTCAATTTCTTTCCACAACCCCTTGGGTATAGTTGTTCCTTTCTTCAGCTCTTTGTATTGCTTCCAGAACTCTCTGAAGGGCTGGTTTTGTGGACATGAATTCCTTTAGCCTACTTATGTCAGGGAAGATTTTTCTTTCCCCTTCAAGTATAATAGACATTTTGGCTGGATATAGTAATCTGGGTTGGCATCTGTGGTCATTTAACACTGGGAATTCTTTGGTTCAGGCTCTTCTGGCTTCATAGTTTGCATTGAAAATTCAGCTGTGATCCTAATGGGTTTTCCTTTAAATGTGACTTATTTTTCTTTTTCAGCTTTCAGTATTCTCTGTTTGTTCTGTACGTTTAGTGGTTTTACTATGATGTGTGTGATGAAATCCTTTTCTGGTCCTGTCTATTTGCTGTTCTATATGCTTCTTGTATATATATGGGCATGCCTTTCTTTAATTTTGGTAAATTTTCTTCTATAGTCCTGTTGAAGATCTTGTCCATACCATTATCCTGAGATTCTTCTCCTCCCTCTATGCCTATGGTTCATAAGTTTGGTCTTTTTATGGTGTCCTAGATTTTGACATGTGAATTTCTTTGGTAGTTTCTGATTCTTGTGTGAGACTTAAGTCTTCAAGTTTAGGTCTGCTTCTTTTTGTAAACTTTATATGCCTTTGTGGTTTACTTTTTGGGCATGGAAAGCTGGTTCGTCTAATCTTCTGGTCCTCTCTTTTGATTTTATATTGGAATGGTCAGATTGCTTTTGTCTTCAGCAGTTCCCACAGAGGTCCAAGTCAGATGAGGATCAGATGCTCTCAGGCTTTCCCCTAAGGTCTGGATCCTTCCAGGAAAGATTTTGTCCTCAGGAATTTGGGGGTTGGACTGGCCTGGGAGTGGGACCCCGGAAAGATGCTGGTCTAGGGCAGCTGGTGGCCATGCCACCCAGAGATGCAAAGGAAAATGGGGGTGGGAAGAGGTCCCAAGGGCTCCTGGGACTGCACTGAGGAACTGTTGGTCTGGATGCAAAGGACAGGAAGCCAAAAGGTCAGCCCTGGTGACCAGGAAAGAGGCTGGTGGGTTCTGCAGCCCAGGGAAACAGAGGGAGATGAGGGCGGGACCAGGCCTAGAGGGCTCTTGGGGACCTTGAGAAGGAACTGGGTCCATTTGGATGCAAGGGATCAGGAAGCAGTTGTGGCCCTGGGCTGAGACATCAGCCCTGGGATCCAGGAAAGAGGTTGGTGGGAGGGAATCAGAGGGAGGTGAGAGCAGGGACAGGCCCAGAGGGCTTCTGGGGACCACAAGAAGGATCTGGGTTGTTCTGGATGCAAAGGAACTGGAAGGGGAACGTAGTGGTTCCCCTTCTGTCTGGGGCAGCAAGACAAGGAATGGGACAGGACACAGGCTAGGAGGAGAGACAGTGGGGAGAGATGGGAGGATGAATGAGTCTGGGGGAATCAAGGCTCTGCGGGCGACAGGCCAGCTGGTCGTGCTGGCCCAGGGAAGCAGCACTCTATGATTAATTTTTAAGGAACCACCATAATATATATTTTCCATAACAGCAGCACTGATTCCCACCAATAGTCCACAAGGATTTTAAAATTAGGATAGGTACACTAACAAATATTATTTCTAATCTCTCTTTATCATCATCAACACTCCTCCTCCTCTTCCTTTCCTTCTTCCTCTTCTTTCCTTTCCCCCTCCCCCTCCCCTTCCCCCT